GCAAATATTTGGTAGATTTTCCATAATTTGTACATCAGCTATATTAAAGCCTACACTTTTGGGGTCACAAATAGTTTTCACAACAAGTTTTATTAGATTCTCATTAAGCAGCTCTTTCTCAAGCAGCTAGAAATAATAAGATAAAAATGAGATAGACAAGTACTTTTAATTTGAAAAATTTATCATTTACATTTATTTTAAGATTTATCCTTAAATATACCATCTCTCTGTGAACCCCCCTGAAATAATATTTTTGTTCAATCTACATTTCATTTTTGTACAATTTTTCAAAAGTTAAAGAATCTATTTAAAGTGTATTATGTAAGCTATATGTTTATAGATAATAACTGGATCAAATTTTCAAGAACACCTATGACATTTATTAAAGGTAGCTGAGGGGTAATAGTTCTACTATATTCTAACAGTATCTTCAGCATGCCCAATGACAACTAGTGGGCATAGTTTCAACAAACTGCTCATGATATTATCATCTTCATGTGGGGCAAAAATATATTTCTCTGGGCTTGCAAATAAACACCATGGAGTTCTTTAATCAGTAAATTAATTCAGCTCATTCAGGACAGTGCCAGAAAAATTACAAAAGGCGTTGGCCTGAATTTCAGAAGGCAGTCAACAAAGGCAATGTAGAATATGAAGACATTTTTAAAATGACACAATACTTTTTTTACTATTATAATTCCACCCAAGCTATACCACAAATGTATCTTAAATCTATCTTATGTGCCCATAGTATCATTCCTAAATCAGAAAGTCTTATTCACTCATGCCTTACCTAACTTATACCTAGATTACTGCAATATGGTCTATATGAGGCTTGAAGCTACATCTGGTTGAGGATACGGCAATACAGATAGTTATGGGTACATCACAGTATCATGCAGGTATTTATGGTACAGCCTGAGGCAACATGCAGCATCACTACTTTACAAAATACCGATTGAATGTGGACTTCCAGGTACAATCCAAGATGCTGGACCTTTTGGCACAGTATCCAGTCCTGTGCAAGATTGCTTATATCTAACTACTGCTATTTGTCTCATAAGATCTGATAGTTGACATGCTCCAATACCATTACTTAAGTATTATTTAATACAGGGGTCCCCAACCCCAGGGCTGTGGCCCATCCAGAACCAGGCTGAGCAAGCAGCGGGCACGCACACACAGCTCCACTTCCACACCTGCTGCTTGCATGGAACCATACCCTCTTCTCCCTGCTGCCGTCATTGGTGGTCCACAAAGTTGGAAAGGTTGGGGACCGCTGATCTAATAGAACCTAGGAGATATGCCTTCTCTATCATCATATACACCCTATGGAATAACAGTAACCTTATAAATTTTGATGCCCACTGCTTTTTATAAGGCCTTTAAGACATTTTTCTCCCTCCAGCGATACGTAACGTGGTCTTGTGATCCCATCAGGATTGTCTATTATTGTTTGGAAGAATTTGCTATATTTGCTAAATGTTTATAGTGTTACTGCTATTTTGATTATATGTCACACTTAGTCATGTTGAGATTATATAATTTGACTAAATAAATAAATCACAATTTCTGAAAATAATAAAGTCAGAAAATAGTGTGCCTGTGAATGCATTTCTTAAGTGCCTTTAAGTGTGGTAGCTCATAGCAAACTTGCTTGAACCAATGGAGCCAAGCCTACCTTCCAGAAATGTTGCTGGTGAGTCTCCAAAATCATGCTTCCAAAAACCATAATCCGAACTATAATTGTACATTTGCTATAATTGTATTCTTCTCTTTCTTGTGGACTCAATAACGTATCATCTTTGGATGCACTGCTAAAACATTGCTCTGCACCAGATATATTGCACAAGGCAATTTTACCAAGGAAGAACTCCAGTGATTTTAAGAATGAAGACCCTGTATTTGTAGCTTTAAACAAATATAAAAGAAATGTTAAAAATACAGCCATCACAATTTTTACTCCAGAATTCACAAGAACTTTCAAAAATCATTTACACCAATATACTGTATATTATTTGAAAAAGTAGGCCTTTGCAATGGCCAACATCAAATAATGACCTTGTAAAAACAGGAAGAAAATATATAATTGGAAAGTTCTTTGATAATAAGACTGACATACTTTTTGGCAAAGTAAAGCATATAAAGAAGAGTGAGATCTTCTATACTGCAAATCCTCCTGGTGCAACAGTGTCATAGTGCAGAACTTCAGAAAGGAAAACCTACTTCCCTGAAGGCCCTTTCCTTTGCCCCAATAATCCAACTGTTGTATATCAGGTTACAATTATCATTCCCTGCCTTCGTTAGAGAGAACTCTTCATCCCTGCAAGGCATTTCATCCTTTCCATACAGAAAATTAAAAACCTTGACATCCTTGAAACCACTCAGTCTAAGTTTATTACAAATATCTTTATCGTTCCAAAATGCATTTAAAATACTGCACTTCATGTAGACCCAGCTTGTTTCTGTGGATATTAAAGATTGGCATCTAATGTTTAGTTGAGTCATCCTTTTCTTCAGTGGATCCTGCTCCATTGGCTCCCAGTGTCCAGTTTAAGTTCACCCAGCTAAAAAAGGTACATAGGCAAGATTCATTTTCTAAGAAATGAATGAGTTGTGTGCCCATCAGTTTTTCTAATGTCAGAAATATGTGGGACATTGGTTTCAAATCTGTAAAACTGGCCCCTAGTCCTAGAACCTGTGGAGGAGGTTGTCAAATACGACTCTGCCAGTCTGCTTATCTCTCATCTTTCACACTCCTGAAATTCTGCCAGGCCTGCATTTTAGGCAAGCTGAATGCATTGCCTTCTGCTAGTCATTTGGGGTTTTACAAAATATTCCTATTCAGCAAAGCCAATACTTTTGTGGGGAGAGCTCTTAACAGTTCTTGAGCCAAAAAATCCTCTTATTACTCTCTCCACAGGAATACCAAATGACTTTAAATATTCTATCCAGAATTGACCAATATTTTAAGATAAAAAATTTATCTTAAATTTTAAGATAAAAAAACCTGGCTTCTATTTCTCACTTCTGCTATATGATCACTATTGGTCACATCCTTTAGAATTGCTTCTTCTTAGGCATGAAGATTTGCACTAATTTCCTTATTTTTTAACTTTCCATAGTGAAAAAGCTGAAACAGGAAAATATATAGTAAAAACAGTGCTTGATGCTGCAGGCATGTCCAACTTCCTTGGTGTTGGGACAAGAAAATGCTCCTAAATGAAGGGGGAAACTCTAGGATTTTCTGTATATTGGTCAATAGATTATAAAGATTCTATCAAAAATAATTTATTTAAAATTAAAAATGATCTTAAACTCATTTTCACATCTGTAGTTATGTAATTTCTTCTAATGAATTTGGGATGACAATCATAATGCAAACTGATTCGACCATCTACCTACCTAAGATCTCATTTGGTTTTATCATTCCTTGTTCAATAAAGGTATTGTAACAGTCTAAAGCAGCTAGAAGCATATCCATCCATTGTACAACAGCTCGCAAACTAAAGCTCCCTTGCAATTCATAGAGGGTTGAATGAGATAAGATTCCAGAGACATTTTCACCCTCACATCCTCCTCCTTCAAATTTTTTTATGAGAAAATAGATTCCTTCTTTCTGAAGAACATCACCCAACCATGAAGATGGAGATGGGTTTCCTGTCAGAGAAGCAAACAGATTAAAGACTCTAGATAAATTTGTTACAATTCAATTCCATGCTTACATTAAAAACAAAAACAAAAAAATAAAAAAAAATTGTTATAAAAATGGGAGGAAACTATAAAAACCATTTGCGAAAAATGGATCCTTTTTTAAATAAATCCTAGATCAGTAGAGAAATTGACAAAGAATATTTTCATCTATCCTTAGACATTCTACCATGTTTCCCTGAAAGTAAGCCCTACCCTGAAAAGTAGCTAGCTTGATTTTGGAGGTGAGCCTAATATAAGCCCTCTCTCAAAAATAAGCCTTAATTTTGGGGTAAGGCGCATGCCTAAAAATCAAGCTAGGGTGGGGGTGAGGGGATGGAGCTGCCCCATGCGCCCAGCATCCACTTACCATTGCAGCCATGCCTCCCATGAATCAACAACTGCTTCACTTCACCGACCCACTTCTACAGCATCCCATGGCCTCCATTTTGCCATCAGAGGCCTTTCCAGAAGGCCTGATGACAAAATGCAGGACAAGGGATGCCGCGTGCGTCAATCCAGAGCTCCATTCTCAGCTGCAGAGGCATTTCCTTTGGCTGCAGAAGAAGTGGGTCAGCTGGGCGGGGCTGTTGGTGCCGCCGCCATGAGATAAGACCATGGAAAAGACACCCACGAAAATAAGACCTGGTGCCTCTTTTGGAGGCAAAAAATAATAATAAGACTGGGTCTTATTTTCGGGGAAACACGGTAATAAATGAATATTGCTAAGTAAGCAAAGGATTTGATTTTCTTTGGATGATAATACAATTTTTAATAATTATAGAAAACGGTAGTAACATTTTGAGGTTATTGAACCATTCTACCAATGTAAATAAAACTTAAGTAACCTCATGGTACGCAGAACACAATTTTACAACCAGTCCACATGCTTTCAGAATGTATTCACATGAGGAAAGTAAAATTAATTGCTAAACTCCCAAAAGTGACATTTTTCAAAAGGAACAGCAACAGACTATTTACACACGTTGTAATATACATACCTGGCAACAAGGGAACAAATTCAAAGAAAAGTTCCATGACTTTGTGCCGGCACTCTGTTTGGGGTTGTCCACACTGTCTTAAAAGCCACATGACAACATCCTCTAAACAAACAGATCTAGATGGAAATCCCCTACAGGAATGTATCAAAACAAAGCCTGAAATTACCAAACAGTTGTCTGCTCTGCTTCTGCATTTATATATAAACGTAAGATTTCAAATGTTCTACCAATAAGAGAATCAACAGATTCATATGTGTAAGAACTTTATACTGTAGTCAGATTTTGCCATGTGTTGCATTTTAATCTCCAGTACTAAACATTATACTTAATATTAAAATATTAATTTGTCCTCCTGACTGAAAAATAAATCAATAATTAGTAACTTTGTTTATTCCCCCGTGCCATATATCAAATCAAACACTGTTTCATTTTTTATATTTGTGACAGAATTGCACTCTCCTACATGTCCAGTTGCCTCCTGAAAAAGCATATTTAGGACAACCATGACCTGGATGACTGGGAATTCCATAGACTGGACTTAGAGGTTTATCCAGGTCAATTATTCTGGATGCCCACTTTAGCTGCAAGTAAATTTAGGGAACAAATTCAAAAATTATAGAATGCTGAAATATATTCAGTTAGATTATAATAGTGTTTCCTCAGAAGAAAAATCACTAAAACTAATATCTATGTAATGTTCCATCTGAATTGATAAAGAAATTAATACTAACCGAGGCAATCTCCGATTGCTTTTTTTGTTCAACGTAGACGCTTTCTGCTTAATGATACGCTTGAGGTGATCAACAGCATCACAGCACTGTTGAACTGTACCTATTTTCAAACCAAGAAAAAATATTGTGACTGCTTCCAAATAATATTTTGAACAGAAATGACCCTTAATTGGTTTTACAATGATAAAATACACATTATTTGAATTACTCTCTAGCTTTGCTGATACTATATAAGGACTATTAAACATTTTTTTATTCTCTGCCAAGTTGGTAACCTTTAAGGTTTTCTGAGAATAAGAAACAGAACCACAAATAATATCTCTTCCATATGCTTTGTCTGAGAAGGTAATCTGAAATCTGATAGTGAAGACATTTCCTGGTGAAAATTGGATTCAGTCTATGTTTAATCAAAAAAGTTGCAATATCTAGTCCAATTTTTAATAGTTGTAGTTTTCCCCCATTTTGGAGAACAAAAAATCTTGAATATGCCTCACTTAGTTTGACTGTTTATAATAAAAGTATTTTATAATAAAAGTATTATATAATAAAAGCTTTAAAAACTTGACTATATACTTAGACCTGGGGCTCAGAATGCGTCAAGGGCTCTGTTTCTTGGTTTTACTATTAGTTGATTAATCATCTCAGCTGATGTTTGTATTTATTTATTTTGAGAATGTTTTGACTATTTTAATATGTTGTTTTACAATTATAGAATTGTAATACATAATTTACTAAAATGTAGCACTTAAAAGAACATAATACTGAAGTAATTAATACAAAATATGAACCATACAAAAAGTATTTGAAGTATATTTTTTTTAAAAGCATTCTTCCAAAATTGTCTGTCAATACATTTCTATAATATAATTTCATAGAAACATTCTAACTGCTCAAAACAGAAACATTTCATTAGAAAACTATTAAAATATATAGGCCTGAAGTTTTTAAAGAATCCTGAAACACCAAATGTAAACCTAATCCAACAAAAGCTGTTAATATCACCTAAAGACTTCTCATCTCCATGTGTCAAGGCCAGACTTTCCAGATATACAACCAATGCTTCAAAAACAAACTGGTCCACCAGAGCATTCTCTTCTCTATGAAACAAAGGGAAAAAATATTAAGCTTATTATGTGGGAACTATTTACAGCTAATGCACTGTAAAAATGGTATTGTTTCAGATGGTTCAAAACTGTTTAGAACATAGGTAAATAATAACAATGTGATCTCTGCCAAAATAAACATGAGTTATTAACCGGATTCTACTAAAAATGAACAAACACCACAGCTATGAAACCCAATGCCAATCATGGCAAACAATCCAGATTTTAATAACTATGAACACAGCAAAACTGTTGCAAAATTTAATAAAGCATTTTGTTTATTTATTTGATTTTGTCCTTTGAATTCAAATATCTTGCACCCAATATCATAACAGGTTGTGGCAATGTGTTGTCCTCAGATTTGCAAATACTTAATATCCCACAATACTTTTAATAGTATTTTAAAGTGCATTTGATAGAAACTGCACAAACACTCGTACATCATTGTATTGCTTAATTCAGCTATTAATTTATTCACTGCTCACCTAAACTCTCGGTAAATGTTATTGAAAGCAAGTGCAGCTCCTAGCCGTTTGAAAGCATTAGGATGGAGAGCAAGGCTGTACAGCCTCTTAAAAAGAGATTTTGTGTTCACTGGACTTTTCTCTTGCTGCTGTGGAGTAGTTTGCTTAATGGACCATTTCAAAAATTCATGGACACATTGACCACAAAAGTCTCTCAAAGCGCTGTCTACGGGATCCACTATACCATCCTGAAACAGAGAACAATCTTGATTCACTGTGCTTCAGAGTTCACTTATGCAACACAAAATGAAATGGAAAGTAAATAATTACAAATGACAGCAAAAATTGGCTATTTAACTTTTACAAGTAAGCTGCTCCAAGAGAAATGTTTGGCTTAATAACAGGGAATTTTTTTAAACACAAAAAAGGA